TTCGAAGCCCTGGTCAGGAGAGGGAAGGAGTACCAGAGCAAAGGCAAGCCTGACGACGCATTGAGCTGCTTCCTCAGAGCTATCGACATCCAACCTGGAGATCCTGAAGTTCAGCTCATGACCATCCAACTGTACCGGCAGATGAGCCAGAGAAGTTAACAAAACAATCCTGATACGTAAAAAATAAACCTGAACCTTAAATTATACTGTTAGAATAGACAGTTGGGACAATTTGCACAACAAAACCGCCAATGTGTTTGTTTTTAAAGACAAACACAAAGCAACTACAAAGAGAAATTCAAGTACAAATTATATTTTAAGTTTGAGTTATTGATTTGTTTTGCTAGCTGGGTTCAGAATAGCACATATTGTTACATTTGTGAAATAAAATAAAGTTTTTTTTATTGTAAAACTATTCAGAGTTTATTTCTCATGAACTGTTCATTCATATAATATTTAGTGTCCTGCACTTGTTTCTTCCTAAAAGGGGTAAAAAATAAATAAATACAGAATATCACTTAACTGATTCTTTAACATATTTAAAGGTGGGGTAGGTAAGTTTGAGAGACCGGCTCGAGATACACTTTTTGTTATATTCCATGGAATGCTCTTAACATCCCAATAGCAATGAATATCTTAAGTGCTTTGACAACAAATCCATAAAAAAATATCATCTGTGGAAGCCGTAATACTGTAAAAAGTACGACCAATCATTTTAGCCGGCCCGGCTAAAATAACTGGATGGCCTACCCAGTGGCGTTTTTATATGTACAAAAGTGGTGGGGCACAAAAAACTTAGATGTCTATATATAAGCTTCTGCAGTGACGTGCAGTGAGGTTCATGGCTGGTGAGGCACTGGCACTGACTCTTCAGGTTTACAAATATTATATTTTGACCTAAACCAAAATATAATATTATTTTCAAAAGCTTTTTTTGTCTGATGCTTCGATTAATTTTAAACAGACAGTTCAACAAAAGGATACCCAAAAAATGTCATTTTATCATTTAAATATTGAATTGTTCTCTCTTAGTAAGATCCCATTTTCAATAAAATGGCGGTCTTACCTTGACTTGAAGATGAAGTCCATTTGCCTATCCTTCTGGACAAACATTTCTATTACTTTTTTGTAAAAGTCCTCCTTATGTTCTTGTAGTTTCAAAAGTCTATCATAAATGTAATCCATAGATTTATGATAAAAAAATTATATAAGTAGGGTAGACATGTGGATGTTATCCGGCTAATCAAAACGTGCATTTATCTAACAGGTAAGTTTCCCACAGATCTTATTTCGAGCTATTTTCTAAAATCCTCTGGAGAAATCTCATTGCTTTTTTGTGCTTACTTCCTGGTTTTAGGACGTGTCACTGCAGCTCTCTCGTCTCCTCTTCACACAGCACACTTTTCGCGGCACACGTACTTACAGCCAATCAGCTCTGAATGATTTGAGATGACGTATGGTGGGGATGGTAGCTCCATGCCCCTCTGGTCATTATTTTTTTGCCACACACATTTCATTACAAAATACTCTGAGCATGCGCAGTGAAGTTTTTACAGTCACCGTTGACTTCACAGCGAGAGGAAGGGGCATAATCAGGTTTTGTCCCACATGGCTCTAAACAGCTCAATAGGCACACACTGTGACTGTAGACACACTAATTAGAAGAACACAGACTAAAACAGCAATGTACAGACGAATCAGATGATTAAACATGATCTTAAAATATATTTTTTTTTTTTTTTTTTTTGCATTTTTGTAATCATTATTTGTAATACTTTCTGCTGACACTAGGTGGGGCTGTGCCCCACCTGCCCCTAATGACCAGTCGCCACTGGGCCTACCTGCCTGTCAGCCTTCCATCTGTGCACAAACTTATCTCGTGCCCTCATTGGTCATGTGCGCGTTCGTGTGTGTTGGAGGAGGGGCTCTATAAGGAAGTGGTAGATTTTCTCCGGTTGTGTATTTTCAAATTCTCGCGACCTCGAGCCGGTTTCTCAAACTTACCTACCCCACCTTTAATATAACCGTTGATTAAAAAAAAAAAATGTTGTAACCTTGTATAAAGTATGTACAACATATTTGGTGCTTAAGTGAATAAGTACTGCATTCAACAACAAACTAATTTATAATAAAACATCCAGTTATGAACTCTCATCCAGTTATGAACTCTCAACAAGTGCAGTATACTTGAAGTTTATAACCATCTAATGCTCACTACTTACAACTGTGTATTTTCACTAAAACCTCCATATTTAAAACACTTCTGTAAAAACAGTATCTTCATTCAATGTTAGAGAAACTTAATTTATCTTCAAACATTCAATTCATGTGATTCTTCAGTCTTTTTTTTTTAATAAAAGAAAATGTTTGTATTTGCTAGCCTTAGAGCAGGGATGGGCAAATGGCGGCCCCCACCTCCTCTTTTTGCGGCCCTCAGATACATTTATAAACAACGTAATTAATTATCAGTACTACAAGTAAAAAAAATTACGTCGCGAGTTGCGTACATGATTTCAAATACCGCAAAATAATCTGTGACGCGTTTGTGTGTATTGTGTTTGTTTCCCGGGGAAACACTCACAAGAAACACCGGCTGTTGTTATGCCTGCTGTGACGTTAAGTTACTGCTTGTAATTATGCCTTTACAAGCTTCAAAGTTGCATTTATCATCTGAATTTGGCGAAACAAGTTTAGTATTCTAAAAACCAAGACTTTGTTTATTTGAAAACAAACTGTCACGGACCCTGCCGTGTTATCTATGATTACTATACGCTTTTCATTCATAATTTCAGCGGGAGGGAAGGGGAGCGGCGCTGAGTAACAGCAGAGTGCGGGTTGAAAGGTGTCTGTGTTGACATTCCCCTTATTGTGGAATAAGGGGAATGCAGAGACAGGCTACAAGTGTCTTAGGTTCAAGTTAGACAACTAATGTCTGGGTTAGTGTTCATGACAAGCACATTTTCCGTGCTTTCCAATAGTTTAAAATAGTTTTATTCCACTGTTAAATAACCTGTTCAATACAAACATGCCACTTGTAAACATTTAATAAAATTTCTGTGAACTGATATTTGTTTAGTGAGCTTATTAGAGGATGTTCCCTGAAAGATTGTAAAATGTCAATGAAGATGTCAGACTTAGTATATTTGTTAATAATTACATAGAATACATGGAATTTGTGTGTGTGTTCCAAGTGAATCTGCGGCCCCCTGGTGGCCAGTACATCAGTTATGTGGCCCCCACCACCATCAAAGTTGCCCATCTCTGCTGTAACATTGTACAGTACAAACCATTACACAAGTACACACACAAATGTACTGACAAATTAAAACAATAGTAATGTAAAAAAACAACCTGGGGGTGCAGTAAAATCCAAAAAGGCCATAGCAATTAAATATAAAAAATACATTTGAAAAATTATATATTTCCAGTGTCTCTTTTCAAACTGTTGTTTTTCGTAGCACATTTTTCAAAATGTCATATTCTGCCAAAAGCATATTCACATTGGTGTGAATGTACTGTTCAAACCATACACCCTTTGAAAATACATATTCAATTTAATATATTACTGACTCTTCTCTTTGATTGGCTGATGCGTTTGATCAAAGTGTTGGGACCTCCCGGTTTTGTTTGGGTGAAGCCAAGGTCGACCTTTGAACAGAACAGTTTCACCTTCCTTCTGATCATCACAATAAAGTTATTATGATGTGAACAAGGGGGCGCTCGGATTGCTACACTGCACAGCCCGATGAATGGCGCATGCGCAGTATGAGCTTTCCCCCCCCTCAACTCGTTTATACACCAGTTGGAGATTACTTTAGTGACGTGAGTAAAAACAAAGAGCCAATAACTTCTGGTGTAATTAGTTTGGCTTCAAAATAAAAGCTCTGACTTTACTCTGACAATACTATTATGGCAAAAAGAAAAGTTCCTGTGTTATAAATTAGTTATTTATTTTTATGACTATTATTATTATTGTTGGTACATATAATATGTGTCGGTTGCCCTTATAAATATAATTGATAATGTGTTAATTGGTAGAACATGCAGATGAAGATTAAAGTCTTCAGAAAAACTCACCTAACACTAAAAAAAATTATTATATACATTTTGTTAATACAGTTTTATAGCCATTATACAGTTTACTCTTAACACTTCAGAAGACATTAAGCACTTGTGCATTACTTGAGTTTTTAATGCAACTTTTTACATCTGCAGTTCATTTATCTGACAGCTCTTGTGACTTTACAAATCAAGGTTTCTGCATGCAAAACATACAAAGATCATCAAATAATATTATGCATAAGTAACGATATGAATGTGCAAATGGTTGGTTGGACTCAATCACAAATTAGAAGGTGTCCTTTCAGCTCTGAGTAATTGTGAATGCATGCTAATTATTTTTTACTTTTTACAAAACAAATGATCAATCAGTTAATCCTCAAATCATAACAATATTTATTAATATTATATTATATTATATTTGTCACATGGGACATTTTTACACTTTTAATAACTACAGTTTTCTGAATTTGTTTTGCCTTGTGCTATTTTTTTTTAAGATCCAAAATAATCAGTATCTATTATTCTACACAGTATTTCAAGTATCTATGTGGTCTACATTGACCAGATTCTATACTGAAATGCTCTTAGATGTATTGAAAACAGGATAACATAATGAACATAATAATATGATACTGTAAAAAGAGCCACTTATTATGCTTTTGATATCTGAAGTACATTTAGCTGCAAAATTAGTACTTAAAGTATATTTTAATGCTTATACTTTTGTACTTTTACTAAAGTATTATTTTGAAATCGGGACTTTACTTCTGATGGGGTATTTTTAAGACAATAATAATTGTACTTTTTAAAGGATCTGAGTGATTCTTCCAATACTGTTCAGACTCTTAGTTTTGTCAGTACATTGTTGTTATTTTATTGAGACTCTTATTTTGAAGTACGTCACAGGAAGTGGGGAATATTTCCACTAACTTGTTTGAGATTCCAGTCGAGTGAAATATGTGCTCTACACGGTGAGGACATACTTTACCGAAACAGTCTAGTCGGCTTCACAGAGGAAACATTGAGACTCACACTCTGTGTGTTAAAGTACGGGTTAAACAACTCAAGACCGGCGGGAGCGAGACATTTAAAATCCTAGTGTTAGCTTAATGGACCGGCCGAGGAAGAAAAGCACTCCGGGGTGTTTAGCATGAGGCTCTGCGGGGGGAAACGACTGGAAGAAAACAGGCTGAAATACAATAATAATAATAATAATTATAACAAGAAGAAGAAGCAGAAGCTGAGGACTAGGAAGCAGGAGGACAGAGCTGCCCGGTGACATTTAAAAGAAGAAGAAGAAGAGGAGGAAGAAGAAGATGATGATGCTGCTGGAGGTCTGCTGGCTGCTGTTGCTGCTGACTGGAAGCTCCCAATGCAGGGGTGAGTGGCGGGGAGCAGGGCGAGGAATACACTGAGGGTGAGGAGGGGGGGCAGTGAGGGTGAGGAGCACTATGTGTGAGGTGCACAGTGAGGCTGAGGAAGGTAAACAGTGGTGTGTGGAGGGCAGACAGATAGGGTGATGTGGGTGGACAGAGGATAGACAGTGAGGGTGAGGAGGGTAGAAAGTGAGGGACAGGACAGGAGCGAAGACAGTCAGGGTGAAGATGAAACTAAGGGTGAAAAGGGTGGATACCTAGGGTATAAAGGACAGTGGGGGGGAGGAGGGTAGAAAGTGAGGTTAAGAAGAGTGAACACTGTTTATACGTTACTGTATTATACAATACTGTGCTACATGTTACAGGAATGTACACTATTACAACAACTGTTACTACTCTGTTGTGGACAGTACTGCGCAGTACTGCATTTCTTACTTTCTTTAATGCGAACGTGACTAAAACACATTACGTTAAAGGGGCTCTATTCTGCTAATTCTCAGGTGTATATCAGTATGTAGTGTCTCTACTTTAAAGAGTCCTCTCCTGCTGATGTTCAGGTGTATATCAGTATGTAGTGTCTCTACTTTAAAGAGTCCTCTCCTGCTGATGTTCAGGTTCATATCAGTATGTAGTGTCTCTACTTTAAAGAGTCCTCTCCTGCTGATGTTCAGGTGTATATCAGTATGTAGTGTCCTCTACTTAAAGAGTCCTCTCCTGCTGATGTTCAGGTGTATATCAGTATGTAGTGTCTCTACTTTAAAGAGTCCTCTCCTGCTGATGTTCAGGTGTATATCAGTATGTAGTGTCTCTACTTTAAAGAGTCCTCTCCTGCTGATGTTCAGGTGTATATCAGTATGTAGTGTCTCTACTTTAAAGATTCCTCTCCTGCTGATGTTCAGGTGTATATCAGTATGTAGTGTCTCTACTTTAAAGAGTCCTCTCCTGCTGATGTTCAGGTGTATATCAGTATGTAGTGTCTCTACTTTAAAGAGTCCTCTCCTGCTGATGTTCAGGTGTATATCAGTATGTAGTGTCTCTACTTTAAAGAGTCCTCTCCTGCTGATGTTCAGGTGTATATCAGTATGTAGTGTCTCTACTTTAAAGAGTCCTCTCCTGCTTATGTTCAGGTGTATATCAGTATGTAGTGTGGGAGAGAAACTCCATCTGGAGGAATACAAATCTAAAAACTTTATTCACCAAAACTGCCTCTGTTAGTCTTTACAGACATATAAATGGAGGACAAGTGGCTCTAAGGTGAAGCCAAAACATCAGGACCCCACTGGTGGCTGGCTGCAATAGATCTTAGATCCTGCCCCTCCATGTTGACTGGATCATCGTAGGTCAAACTAAAAAGTCAAGGTACACGACAAAAATAGTTTTTCTCATTTCAGGTAGTTCACCAAGCTATAAATCAATGATGATGATCAACAGCTGTGATTGACAGCTGCTCCAAGTGGAGTAGTTGCAGAGGCTCGGGATTAGGAATTGTAGATAGGAGATGTCCTTAGTACACATCTGTGTAATAGAAATGAGTCGATTTGATCATAAACCTATTTCGAGAACTTAACCGAGTCCTAGGAAGCAGCATACATATAGTTAATATGTTCTTGCTTTTGAATGTAACTTTTTATGAAAGGCAATCATTTTGGTAGAAAAAGGGCATCAGTTCTCTTTCACAAAACATTGCATGTCCTCTAAATATGCAGTTATAATAACTGCATTCACTCTTATTATGCAGTAATAATAACTGCATGTCTTCTCATTATACAGTAATCATTTGTAGATTTACAAATGTGTTTGATGATTTCTGAGTAAATGGTTTAGAACTTTCCAAATCCACTCAAAACAAACCAGCAATCTTAACCAATTAAAAACGATTTTACAAACAAACTGGAATCATAACACAAGACTTTCTTTAAGTTACTTCGTACATTTGTTGCAGTTGAAATTACAAGACATACCTCAAGACAAAGGCATTACTTCCTCTGCTGTACAGTGTTTTGTTTTTTTAAATGTAGTAATTTTGTACATTTTGGGAGAGGTGTGAAGTGTGCACACGAGCAATTTCAAATATGTCAGGGGGGGACTTACCAAACAAATATAAATTGGGCTTAATTATAAAAATAACAACATTACAGGTTCAGTAACTTCATACCTTCACAACATCTGGCTGTAAAGGCCTTACTGTACGTAGTTGAACTTGGAATTTTTGAACAAAATCTTCTGAATACAGAGAGGGGTTTACTTGCCTTACACAAAAAATGTATTTCTGATTTCAAGAAATACATTAGATACACCGCCCACTATCCTGCCACTTCCTCCTTTTTGAAAGCCTTGTTAAACGTATTAAACTTATCCTTAAGAGTTAAGCAAGTTTTCGTAAAGATTTCTCAAAATGTTCTTAAATGTCTTAAATGTAAATGTTTCAAGTTACTGCTGATAATATGTTATATTCTGTTATATGCCTTAAAAATGACTTTTTGTTATAGCTGTTCTCCTGGTTTTCTTAAGCTGTGATGGACTTTCTATGTTCTCCTGACATGTATATTACCTACTCAAGGTAACATCTTTGATTACAGTGGGTTAAGTATTCTTTGTCTTTATTATAATCACAATAAAAGACAAATCCTACAGATGTACGTCGATTTTCTTAGTGATTACAGTTTGGTTTAACTCAATTCAATAGTTCCTTTTTCACATGACATTCGACATGTGTTGCCAAAGCACAATTGCAATCATGTAAGACAATAAATGAAATGAACAAATGTAAAGTGAATACAACTATTAGGTAATTAGTAAATGAATGTTAGTGCAATATGATCTAACTTTTAACCAGGGTTGGGTGGGTTACTTTAAAAGTGTTTGCCGTTCTCTAATTATCTCCGGTGGCCAGCAGGTATAAACACTCTACTATGGCCCAAAACACTTCCATTTGGAGAAACGCGCTGCACTTTCAGTGTTTCCCCTAGGATGGAGTCCTAGCAGCGGTGCTAAGGCACGCGGGCCCAGCAAAATGTGAGCGCGGAGCACGTGGAATTTTGTTGTGTGTGCGAAGTGTGCCCCGCCAATATGTTTCTATGTGTCTGCCAGCACAAGAAAAGCTCTTGAGGCCGAGCACATACAGTGGCAATGTCTCAAGATTTAGCAAAATACACCTTTATTGAACATACAGTAACACAAATACTACAAATCCACATTTTTCTGGGCGCTGCGCTGCCGCTATTTGTATATAGGGGAAACACTGACTTTCATGTGTTGCTACTTAGTTGTCGAATGTGTTTCTTCATTTGCATGTGTTTTGGCACATTATGTTTTTTTTATTTAGCGTGTTTTTTGAAACAGCAGCATGTTTCTCTGAATGGAAATGTTTGGAGCCGTTGTAACCAATTGCCACTGAAATGATCTGTTAAAAAATGTAATCAGTTTCACATCTTTGATTACTTTTGGTTACTTTTGGGTTACCTCAATATCAAATATGCAGGGCTGAAAAGTTTGGGAACCCCTGATATACGGGACACCTCCAACCGGTTGACCAATCACAACAGAGCCAGCCAGCTAACCAATCAGAGCAGACTGGGCTCTCTTTAACAATGCAAGACAAAAATAAATGTGTTTAGAAAGTGTTCTTCTACTGATTAAACAGGAAGTGAGAAACAAAAGAAACTGACATTGTGTTTTTGAATCGGTTAAACATTGTGCCGTAGTTGTAGATTTGTTGGTTTGTGTCTCCAAGGACCACTGAGCCCCAAGCTCTTGAAAGTGTGTGCTTTTCAGATTTTGTATTTGTGTGTTCCGGTGTCTCGTTCAGACAGGTTGAGTTAAGCAGCTTAGTGTCTCCCAGCCGAGTCCTTCAGCAGCTCCCACTCTGACAGGAAGTAAACCCTGTTTAACACTCAGGCCTTACAGCATGTGTATATTTGTGTGTGTTGCTGAGGTGTTTATGTGAGAGTGTATTGACAGTGAGCAGTCAGTTGAGGATCCACAGACAGTAAAACATCCAGAGAGTCTGAATGAAACAGAGTGATTACATTTACAGGAAAAACACGCACGCACACGACACTCCCTGTTCCCCTGGAAGATGACTCACTCTTTTTTTCTCTCCTAACTGAACATGAACAGATCTGTAGCTCAGAGGCATAGAATCTGCTTTCACACTTAAAGCTTTGCCCAGATCCATAAAGTCCCTGTTATTCTATATATCTACTATTCTCAGCAAATCTCATGTGCAGAGTCAAACCAACAATGTGGTACATTTTTAGCAATATCTGAATTAATTTTGGGGTTTTTACATCTATTATTTCTGAACAATATTTAGTTAACAATGGAGGTTTTTCAATTAATTAGCAAACATTACAGATTCTTACGACTAATATCCTTTCTTTTTTCTTTATCTGTTTGTCTTCATTATTTTAAATTCCTACAAAAAAATCTATAGTTGTTAGCGAATTTCTTTTATACGTCCCTGAAAATTTTTGAGGGGGATTTCTCTTCCTTTTTGAATAAACAATATCTTAAGATTTTCTCATCTCGTGGATACAAGCGGCCGAGATGGGTTTTCTCCGCAGGGTGGCTGGCGTCTCCCTTAGGAATAAGGTGAGAAGTTCAGTCATCCGGTAGGGACTCGGAGTTGAACCGCTCCTCCTCCGCGTCGAAAGGAGCCAGTTGAGGTGGTTTGGGCACCTAGTAAGGATACCACCTGGGCGCCTCCCTAGGGAGGTGTTCCAGGCACGTCCAGCTGGGAAGAGACCAAGGGGTAGACCTAGAACCAGGTGGAGGGATTATATCTCTTCGCTGGCCTGGGAGCGCCTTGGGATCCCCCAGTCAGAGCTGGTTGATGTGGCCAGGGAAAGGAACATTTGGGGCTCTCTGCTGGAACTGCTACCTCCGCGACCCGACCACGGATAAGCGGGAGAAGATGGATGGATGGATGGATGGATTAAGATTTTCTACATATTTTTACTAGTAGTTCTAGTCTTTTGTACACAGCTAAACCCATAGAAAACCCTAACAAATCTTTTAGCACCAGCTATGTCATGCTAGTTGTTGGAGGGGGGGGGAGACTAAATAATGCTCCAATGTAAGGCTATATTTAAGCCAAGTAAAAACCGGTGCAGCTATTTTCCAGAGGTCCAATGACATCTCACCTTAATAAGTATTAACATATCTGAATTAAAATGCATTCTATTGGACATGCCAACTAGAGTTTTGACGTTTTCTAAGGTAAAGAAAATAGTTATCGCCACCGGTCTGATCCCTCAAGGGCTCATGCTAAACATTGTTAGGAGTAGAGAAGTGGACTTTTAAGAGGCTTGAGAATTCCTTAAGCAGAGGAGAAAATGGCTAACTCGTTGGTTTACGCCACTAGACTACCCAGCAATCACAGATATTGACTAAAGCTGAGCCATTTCTCCCATGTTAATACCTAATACATTAAGTATAGTACCTACCAGCTTTGTAAATAAAACACATTTTCATGTTTATATCTGGTTGCTCAAGAATACACATCTTTTTACTACTTTTAAAGTGTGCCTTTGAATGTATTCAACTTTAATGTCCATAATATAACATAATATTCATATCAACATCATGTCTGTAATAGAGATGAAATCATGCAGTATGATTATTCAAAAGATTTTTAAGGACACATTTTACAAAATGTTTGGACTGAAGAGCAAAGTGGATAAATCATTCCTCAACTAACGATTCCGTTTTTACAGTTTGAGACCTCTGACGTTCGCGTCTGAATTGAAAGCAGCTTCAGTTAAAACAAGATTTCATTATTTCAGTGCAGCTATTTTTCCTCTGTCAGAGTTACAGTTTGACAGATCTGTATTTAAACAGAACATCAAAGACCTGCGGAGTAGTTTGTTTGTAGTCTGTTGAATATATACCTGACTTCCTGATCCAACCATGATGTGGCTCTGTGGTTTCTGTTTTGAGCACAAGCTCACAGGTCTGGTGTCTGTCAGGTTAAAGAGTTCAGCTGTGCAGGTCAGGTTTCTGTGTTTCAGAAAAATTAACCCTCTCGGTTGATCCACATCCACAGATTTGGGTCAGCCGAGAAAAATATTTTTGAACTTTCGGTTGAACCATGGCGCAGGTCTTTTCAGGGTTTCTGTGGATTGTAAGATGGATTCAATGAAAGGTTATTCTTATGATTTACTGCAAGAGTTCTTTGTGCATTTTTTTAGTCGTAAAGATTTATTTTCAATTTTTTGTTTGATTTCTCGTAACTTTCCTAAAGATTTATATTATATTATTTAAATCAATGTCAGATCTCTTGAAATGTCTTGAAGATTTGTCTTGAATTTATTAGATAGTTTCCTCTTTGTTATGTTTCAATATAATCTTTTAGATTCCTCAAAAGTTTTGTTTGAAAGATTTCTGTACATTTTCTTGAATATTGTTCTAGGTTTTGTCTTCAATTTCCATTCCTCTCATATGTTAACAGTCATCTGGAGTTATTTCCTAAAGATCTTTCTTAAAGGGGACCTATCATGCAAAATGCACTTTTGTACGTCTTTTATACATGAATATGTGTCCCCGGTGTTCCAGGGAACTCACCAAGTGTCAGAAAACACAACCCTCTCTATTTTCCTCCATACCCAAATCTCTAAAAAAGGGGCTGCAACGGATCTGATACAGACTGATCCAGATTTGAACACTGTCCTGACGTCAGGACAGTGGCGCTACGGCTATTGGGCCAACTCCACCAATCAGGAGGAGACAGCCACGGCCATTGCCGTTCGAAAGCACTGGAGACGCTGTAGTACATATGCCAGGCCTGTAGATGGTGCTGTTCTCACAGAATCAGCCCTTGCAAAAACAGAGCTAAATAAGTGCAAATTGAGCGAAATGAGGCATGGCTAAAATGCATGATCTGTTTGGTATTTTGAAAAAAAAAAGTATAAATATGCCTTGTATAGGTATGGTCCTACACTATATTATTATAATATAGCATGATAGGTCCACTTTAAAGATTTTTCAAATGTTTCTTTACTATTTTCAAAGGCTTACCTTGAACGTTTTACAGATCTCTGAACAGTTTTCTTCAAGATTTGTCTCTAGATAGTCTTAAAAACTGTTAATTTTTCTTACAAGCTTCTTAACATTGAACTTGACGCTTTGTCAGATTTCTTGGTAGAAGAGAAAATCTACAGAGGAAGCTAGAGTATATTGGATTAGATTGGAAAAATCTTCACTGGTCAGCGGGGGTTAAAGAGGCCCTATTTTTTTGGAGGGGGGGTTCCCTTCCCTGCAGTGTGTTCTATAGGCCCGGACACACCAAGCCGATTTTGGCTGTTGATTGGCGTCAGGCCGACGATGAGCGTCGACACGCCCTACTCCGATTGGTGTGTCCCGCACCGTCGTGTCTTTTCAGCCGGGCCGACACCTTTTCAGCCGAAAACCCGCCGATTCAACATGTCGAATCGGTGGGCAGTCGGCCAAAGGCTGTCGGCAAAAGAAATCACTCTGATTGGCTGTTCAGCTAGCGAATCAGTGCATGAGAAGCGAAACGGAAGTGAGGGGCCCAAACAAACGATTAAGAAGGCAAATCTGAGATTTCATTTAACTCCAGCTCTCGACACAGGTTCGGGAAAGCCCCATGAGCTTCTCACTGTAGAGTGAAAATGGAACGCACACGCTATTTGTTGTTTGTTTATATCACGCAGTCTGTTCTTCTTCTCTCGGTTATCACGCAGTCTGTCTTCCGGTTGTTGCCTCTTTTGAATGACGAATACACACTACCGCCGCCTGCTGGTAAGGAGAGTTATTGCCACTCACGCATGCGCAGTTCGTACGTGCTTCTTGGCCGTCGGCTGAAGTCTTTGCGGTGTGTTCCAGTGCGACACATGGCCAAGACGCAGAGACGCGAGGCGACACAACAGTCGGGGGTCCATCTGTGTCAGTTCTTTGGTGTCAGCTTGGTGTGTCCGGACCTTATAGGTTTTAGTGGTCTGCAAAGGCTAAAATCCCTGTGTTCCCTCCAGAGGGAGTTTCTCTCCCACACACTCCCCCACTCCCTGAAACGCCTCTTTGTTTACTTGTGTAACATAATGACATCACTATCTAACACTCGTGCTTCTATTGGCTAGTGCTGCAAAATCTTGTACGTGGCTAAGGGGCGGGACATCTCTAAGTTGTTGACCATTCACAACAGAGCTAACCAATCAGAGCAGACTGGGCTCTGGTTTCAGGCAGAGGGTGAAAAGAGGTGCTGCAGAACAGGCAGTATGAGGCAAATAAAGAGCTTTTTGAACATTAAAGCATGGAGACATGTCCCAGTAGAGACACTACATGAAACTGAGAATGAGCAGAGTAGAGCCCCTTTACTGGAGTGTCAGACCAGCAGAGATCTATATACAACTGGAAGACAACAAATAACAATCAAACAAATATAGCAGCATTTATTTCACATACACACTAATGTAGAAAATAATTTGATTACATTCTGATCTTTGAGAATGTGTGTATATAGAAAGATCTTGTAAAAAGCAAAAATACACCATAGAGTGTCTGCAGGTTTTGCTGCTGGTGTGAGTTTATAAGATCAGTGGTCTAAAGCCTCAGGATAACCTCAAGTGACCTCTTTTTAAGAAAACTGAGAGAAAAAGTAGAAAGAAGCAGTTTGACAGAGGGTGTGAGGGAGGTCGAGTGGGTGGAGGCTGAGGTGACAGGTCTGTCTGCCACTGAGAGACGGTCGAATGGAAAATAACAAAACGGTTTGTGGTTTTCGAGGGAGTTATGTGCTGTAAATCTTTCTTTCGTAAACAACCAGTGTATCCAGACGTGATCTCTACTCTGCTTTAGTGTTGAACTATTTCTTAAACGTGATTATAACTACTGCTATCTGCAGCTGTAGTTGTATCCACGTTTAAGAAATAGTTAAAAACTATTATATATAAAGAGGCAGACACAATATATAAAAAATAGCCAGAGAGAGATAGAAAGACAGACAGGCAGGCAGACCAGGAGACACACTCATAAACACAGACAGACAAATGTTACTGAGAATTGAACGACCGAACAGAAGTACTCTAAAATAAAGGGTCGCACAAACACACATGAAAACACACAGCTACACAATCACAAAGGCTTCATTCATCTGAGACAAACAAACAGCAGCTAAGCTGGCAGAGCTGGAACACATCATTTATGTAACAGGGATTAGAAAGAGGGAAGAATGTCTTATTACGATGTTACATTTTAGATGTTCAGAAAATTCTATTTAAAATGACATATTATGCTCATCTTCAGGTTCATATTTACTCATACTGTCTCTGCATGAAAAAATAAAAATGTTTAAAGCGCTACCTGGATGTCCTGACCAACCATGTGCAAATCTTTAGGCAAGGAATTGAATTGGACACAAATGATCTCTAAATTGGGCTGCCCTTGGAACTCGAGGCATTATGGCCTCATGCACCCCTGAGCAACTTGAACGAGGCCCTGCTTCTATCACTGTGACCAGTATTCTTTGTACATCCATGTCACAGACTCATGACTTAGTTTCCTACAGATTAACACAACAACTTACAGGAAGTGAAACCACTACCACAAACTGCTTTCAAAAGTCGCACAAAAGACACAAAGTTAAAGTTGTATAAAAAAATGGCGTCTCTGGTATAGTTGTGAAGTTATTATAATTGACAGACTTTCTATGTATTCGTCACAACATTTTATGGGGAGATATTTACTCTCTTTACACCCTTTATCTGACAGTTTATTTTCAGCTGCTTTCCATGTTCACTGACTTTCTGTTCCCTCCTGCAGAGACTCAGCAGACAGAACATCTCTCCTCCTATCATCTGACTGTCCCTCGACCAATAGGAGGCAGGCTGAGGCGGGACCTAAATGGAAGACCCCCCCATCAGGTACTGAGCTTTCACTATTGTAGTGATTTGCTTTCATTCTGTTCCTCTAGTTTGTGTTCATCACCTTGTAGTTGCTGTGTGAGCCTTTAGGAAACAAAGTCAGCAAAGGAGAAGCTGACTTGTCATGTCCACTTCCTGTCTGTGCCCCCCCTCCCCCGCCCCCCCTGCTGTGTCAGCAACTCATTATCTCATTTCACTTTAAGCAAAACTGTTTGTACTAACTGTTAAATCACTTTACACAACACAATGAAACACTTTTTAAAGGTATTTTAAATAATTATTGATAAGTTGTTTGAGAAATAAATATTATTATAACGCAAGAAAAACACAAACAAAATCAAATAAATATTAACAGCAAATAAAATGGAGGCTAGAAGCCTAAAAGGCTTATTATGATTCTACTCCACTTTTGATTAATAATAATAATAATAATAATAATAATAATAATAATAATACTCTGATTGGTTAGCTGGCTGGCTCTGTTGTGATTAGAGATGTCACGCTCCTCAGCCACGTGCAATGTGTTGGAGCACTAGCCAATAGAAGCGCCAGTGTTACACACTGATGTCACTATGTTACAGAAGTAAACAAAGGAGTCCAATGGAGGCATTTCAGGCAGGTGTTTGGGAGAGAAACTCCTTCTGGAGGGAACACAGGGATTTTAGCCTTTGCAGACCATTTACATGCACACAAACCTATAGAACACACTACAGGAGAGGGAAAACCCCAAAAAGCAAAACAGGGCCCCTTTAAAACCGATCACAGAATAAATATAAAAGTAATTAATCATGATAAAATAAAACAAGATAACCGACTAAACCTTACAGGAATAATTCACCTTGAATTCTTGGAGAAATCTTAGTTTTTCTCAAATGAGACAAGTACATGACAAGACTTGATGAGTGTAGGTAGACGGTGCACGCGTTTAGCAACACCATAACTAAGATGCCAGTGCCTTTTACCTGCCTTCTTGCTACCATTGGAGTAATAGTAAATTCTTGGTTTACCCTATTTTAATGAAAAAATATGAAAGCGTGTGTACCAGTAAATCACTTACCTCCACAAATATACATCTTCAACATTACATATCTAAGAAGGGTTTTAAGAAATGGTGTATTAACCATATGCTGGTTGAAGTGGAACAATGTTTCCACGACAGAAATCTGAGTAATAAGTACTGATTCAGCTGTGTAAAGGTGGACCTGTCAATCCTCTACTCAACACTGCAGCTCAGTTGTTGCTGGACTACCTTAAAACCCAGAAACACCCAGTAACACACTCTGGTGGAATGTCAGAGTGAGTGACGCCTTGTACAAGTATATTGTGGGCCATTGTGTTTGTGTGGGTGTGTGTGTGTGTGTATTCAGCCCGCAGCCATGTTTCTTTCTTTCTTTACATGCAACAAATACCACCTGAACAATTCAGTCTTTAAACACACCTAATCTTTTATTTGTAACTGCTTATGTAGCATTTATTAGCAGTCCATGAACACTTTATATACTGTTTTTAATACAATATAGTATAGTTGGAAGCAAACATTTCAAGGATATGGGGGCCACATACAGAAAAACAGACGAAGGGCTGGGCCCCCCACTAGAGGTGAGGTATTGAGGTATATATAAGTTAAGTTATAAATTAGCACAATCAAATGCAGGTAAAAATGCTTGATATCACAGCTCTCCATAGGGTTTCATTTATTCTGTTACAAAAAGTGTTGGCAGCTCATCCCTTAAAACAGAAGCCTCAGATTGCTTATAATAAGGGGAAATGGGAAGGGTATATTTCAAGCTTGTTGCAAATAAGTTATTTGGCTTCTTTAGATTTGTTAGAAAATGTTTTAAACTTTAATGGAATGAATTTATGTGAAAAGTGGGCTTACCGACACATGAATACTGCTGTGTAATATATATTGTAACATATATTTAAGAAGAACATTATAAGTCAAGCGCAAGTTTCAGGTGTGGGCCATGTTCCATTATATTTAAAGGTCCCATGTCATGGCCATTTCTACTGATCATATTTCCATTGTTGAGGTCTACTAGAATAGATTTATATTGTGCAATGTTCCAAAATGACGTTGGTTTCTCATACAGCATCTCTGTATAGTATGTGTATTCACTCTCCGTCCTAAACGGCTTGTTGGAGCTCCTGCCCCCCCCCCCCCCCCCCCCCCCCCCCCCCCCTCCCTGTGAGCCCCGTGTGCTCTGATTTTAAAATAGAAGGTTGTGTCTTAATAAGCTTCAGACTCCTATATATTCCTGATTTTAGGAAAAACAAGTAGAGTTAAAAGTCACATTAGGCTATGTGTTTTGCTATATTTAGGTAATCTGAAACTGGAAAATATGCAAAACCAAGATATCTCTTTTAAGTCTTTGACAACAACCATGAAGGCAATCACAATGAATGAATGTTTTTAGCCAAACCTCCGTGTCAAGCACATTTTTGTGTAGCATGTAATAGGTGTGTAAATATACTTACTCATAATATACCAAACATACTTTTGATTATGCTAGGCTAACAGTTTCCCCATGCATACCATATTTGTGCTAAGCTAAACATGTCCTGGAAATGTTCATGGTTTTGTTTTTTCACATTATATCTCAATGTTGTGCAGTCCCCTATTAAAACATTGTTGTTGTTTACATAACAAAGTTTGGCATGTGGTTATAATGAAAAACATTTCTTGCTATAAGGAGATATGTTGATTGATTGTGTAGTTTTATGATATTCAAAAAGATAAAGCTACATTTAAACCCTGAACAATTTGGTGTGCTGTAAAAGCAATAAAAAGATGCCATAGTAACATTAAAGATATTACTTCAGTTGAACATGAAAAAGGATATTGTTTAAAGCAGAAACATAACGAGAAACCTGGGAAATCTCTGTTGACATGGGGAGTGTTGGACGAATCCTCCTACTCTAGCTTTGCCTTGTCCTCTGTTGACCTTTGAACCCCGCTGTGTGTAGAGCACAGAGGAGCTGCAGTTGCCAGCTGGATGATGTAGTCCACTGCTGACTTCCTGTCCTCATTCACCTTAAACACCACCTGTTTGTGTGTGTTTGTGAGTGTGTGTTTGTGAGTGTGTGTTTGTGAGTGTGAGATATCACCACTGCAGTAATCAAATACCTGCTGGTAGTTCCTGCACACAAACACTCATGCAGGCACACACACTCACAGAGTAGCAGAAATCTGGGAGGTGAGTCAGAGGCTCAGGTGACCTTGGAGTTTAGTTTTTCCCTAGTTTTTTGGACTTTAGCTGGCATAAAGAAAAAAACGTAAAGGCAGTACGAGTAAGATTTGACAAAGGCCGATGTAAGAAAAGACGTTCGAAGTTGGCACCTAGCAACCTCAGATCATTCTTGTCTTCTTTTATTTGATACCTTTATCCAACATATCTTACAATAAGTGCATTTAACCATGAAGAAACAAACTCAAAAGCAAGAATCATCCAGGTACATTTCTTATCTATAAGCCAACCCAGATTAAGTGTGACTGCATTAGCTTCACTTAAATCCAAATCCTTTTAAGTGCTACGTACATAAGAGATCTTTTTGAAATGGGTTAGGGTTTTTGTAGCAAAGATGCAGTGGAAACAGGTGAGTTTTCAGTCCGCAACGGTATGTGTGTAGACTCTCTGCTGTCCTGATATTAATGGGGAGCTCGTTCCACCATTTTGGAACCAGGATATCAAACAGATGTGTTTTTGTTGAGTGGTACCTGGGCTCCATTCACAGTGAAGGAGTCTTGGAAGCTTTGTCTGTGCTACACCTACAGAGGTTGACGCACAGAAACGCCCCCAACACAGAATAATAAAGGAACACAAAAAAAAGTGCAGGCAGGGGGCTGCAGGGTCTCTGAAATACCCCCCCTCACACTTCTTGTGGGTCAAAGTGTAGATTGAGGGGGATTATATGTTTTTAGGACAATCCTGCTCATTTCACCTTTAACCGTGTTAATTGATGGATTTCAGTATTTGTGCATTGATTTTACCACAGAAAAAATGCTTTTGTAAATATGCATTTGTATCACTAGGTGTGTCAAATAAACTAATACATATTTTCTTTCTGTCTCCAGGTCTCCTATGTCATCGGTGTAGGTGGAAACGATCATGTTGTTCATCTGGAGAGGAATGAGTAAGTGATGTAGTGATGTACTCTATTACTTATGTGTCTCATGTATCATTGTTACTGCAAAACAGATTAGTATCTAACAGATTCTTCAACTTCAAATAAGTATTATGACAAAATAGTCTTGACCCAACCTCATCTAACTAGCCTTTCCAAAAACTTTAAACTGAATCCCAGATTAATGAAGTACTTGGAATATGACAGATATATAATGAAGTATTTCTTTATGTCTTGTAACAAAATATTGGACGCACATGCATAATTAGAACACAGAATATCATTGAAATTCTTAAAAAGGGAATAGGAATGAATGTAGTGCGTCTAACGTTGTGTATGTTCTTTAATTAATCGAATCTAAGTGTGAACAACGACACTTTATTATATAGTCTGATGACATCACATCAGACACCTCACAACGGCCAATCAGATCCATCAGACAATGATGTCAGCAGCAGAACAGAAAGTAGAAACACAGCTGATCATATTTATTTTAGTTTTTGATTTTGATTGAAAAATGCGTAAATAAACATCACCATCTTATTTGTTGTAATTCTAGAGAGAATGTGATTTAGTTGGATATAAACAAAATTGATTCCATAAACACTTACATGTACATATAAATAAATAATATGTGAAAGGTGTTAAAGGTAGGGTAGTTTGAGAAACCGGCTCGAGGTACACTTTTTGTTATATTCCATGGAATGCTCTTAACATCCCGATAGCAATGAATATCTTAAGTGCTTTGACAACAAATCCATAAAGAAATGTCATCTGTGGAAGCCGTAATACTGTAAAAAGCACGACCAATCATTTTAGCCGGCCCGGCTAAAATAACTGGATGGCCTACCTGCCTGTCAGCCTTCCATCTGTGCACAAACTTATCTCGTGCCCTCATTGGTCATGTGCACGTTCGTGTGTGTTGGAGGAGGGGCTCTGTAAGGAAGTGGCAGATTTATTCCGGCTGTGTATTTTCAAATTCTAGCGCACTCGAGCTGGTTTCTCCAAAATTACCTACCCCACCTTTAATGTAAACATTAAAAAAATTAAATTATTTTTAAAAGTACAAATAAATGAGTAAGTTCACAATATGGGATCAGGAGTGCAAAACAACAATTCATTATCAATAACGATATAGCACTTTTTTTCCCCCCAATGTCCAATGATGTTCATCATCAGTTTGGATCTGAACTGTGTGGACAGAAGAAGACGGTGCTCTCTGATATTGTTAAATCTGCTTTCTGTTTACATCAACACGACTGATTGTCAGCGTCCCTCAGCGCTCCTCTCTCTCACTATCTCACTGTTGTGAACAAACTGTGATAAACTCCAGAGTCTGAATCAGGAAGCTGTGCGATAAAAGTCTGCTGACGTTCATCCGAAGGACCAATGTCTGCAGCAACATGCCAACTGAGGCTGGATCAAATCCATTTAGAGTTTTCTATTTTTTTAAATAATAGATACATCAATATGTAAAGAAAAAACCGCATGCAAGGTGACCAACAATAACAAGGCGATAGAAGTACAAATATATTAACATGATTACCATGTTTCCAACCATTTTCAAGCATCAAGATTGGTAAATGTTTTTTTTTTGATAGAGTATCAAACCACGTTGTTACAGTACAATAAACGTTTTGATCTTGTTTGTTTTTAATCATATAAATGTATCTTAATTAATTGGACATTTGGACTTAAAGTCAGATCAAATAAGCTGAGCTATTGTTAGCGGTAGCTCGGCTAGCAGCCCCTCTACCCAGTGCAGTCAAAAACACAGATTCTTTTCACTTTAACAGCTTTGTTGAGTGTTTTTTTTTTTTTTTAAACGACTCACTGTGTCCATTCGTCTATGAAGATTAGGAAATGTCCTAGGACAGTGATCACCAACTTTAAAAAAAATATATATCTCAACCTTGGGGAAAGGCAAGATGTACTTATCGCATTGAAGGAAAAATACAGGCCAGACTGCCCGTCCAAAAATAATGCATTATATTTAGGCTAATTTTAGTTGAATTACATGAAATCCATCGGTTAAACTTTCTATTTGTTGCATCCAAGAACACAATGTTACTAGCATATAAGATAAGCTGTATTGATTTAAGAATTGTACGACATACCTTCATTTCTAAGTTATCTTCTTTTATCTCACTTCAATTCAATGCATCTGTGTTGGCATGATCATATCAAAAACACAGTATTGCCAAAGCACATTGTACAAGGTGGTACCTCAGTAAAACTACCATGTTAACACTGTTATATGCTTTCAAATAAAGGAAGGAACTCAATTGATGGATATGCTTTGCTACGCTGAAAAGAAAAACAATGGCTGAGTCAAGAGAAACAGAGAGGGAGTGGTTTGTAATATCAAACATTAATAAGGAATAATGCATTTCTGTATGCTTTTTCCTATTCTTTTTCGGGAGGTACGGGGAAAGTCTCAAAGCTCTACCAATGATGGACTGTATAGTCCGTAGACTGTTAGACTGGTTGGTGACTATTGCCTTTGGATCATTCAGCTCCCAGTAAAACAAAATAAACATCAGAGGAACTCTACACACACAGCCAAATCTTACACTTGCAAGGGGGGTTTTCAGTGGCAAAGAGGTGACTTTAGATTTGTTGTAAAGTTACTTTATGGCAGTTTATTCATGCTTTTGCCATCTGTGGTGTTGAATCAAAACAATTATTCCTCACATTATTTCTCAGATGTTGATGAAGACAGTTTGTGTCAACAAAGAGAACAACAGCCTCATGTTAATTAACCCTATTTAGAACTGCTTCAATAAAGAGAGCAATGAATTATCAAGCAATGTTGCCATGGAATTCCTTTGAAAGATTTGGAACAATTAAAAGAAGTTAAACATATTTGACTAAAATGTTAAGATTGGCTACTTCATTCCTTGAGTGAAAAAATACAATCATATTCTCGTTCTTTTTTGTCGGAAACATGTGAGATTGTTGTGCAGAGATAACTTCCTAATCATCTTTTATTTATAATAAGACCCGAGGAACCACAACCTGACATCTTCCTGCTGATCTGAATATGTATATGTTGTTATAATAAAGACAATATTTGTAAATGAATGGATCTTTTCCATCTTTTCAGACTGCTGCTTCCCGCAGACTTCACTGTGGTCACCTACAGTCAGAACGGATCACTCATCACATCCAGACCTCCTGTACAGGTACACACTAGGGATGTTAAGATTCACCGATTCGCATCGGTGCACCGGCATAAACGTTCAAAATGCGAGTGCACCGGTTGAAAGAGTGCACATCGGCTACAGTTTGGGTTGAACTCGCGATGCATCGATTGTAGCGTCTTTGCATCGGTAAAAAAACGATTCATTCATATAATATCCCCTCATCCTGTCAGCACTCAGCAGAGACGATCTTTGATCTTTGCTTCACCACTGCGGAGGCCGAGAGTCTCAGTTATCAACAAACATGGAAGTCGAGGAGAAAGAGAAACACAGCGCACCGAAAAATACCTACAAATCAAACGTTTGGCAACACTTCGGATTTTACAAGAAAGAAGGACAACTTGAAAAATCACTCGCAAATTGTAAACGATGCCGTGTCGCTTTAAAGTACACAAGTAGTACGAGGAACTTAGCGACGCACATAAAGAGGCGACATGGGGTCTGCGGCTGAAAAGAGAAACCTGAAAGTTAGACATATGAGTGAAATCACTCAGTGAGGTGTTATAGAGAGTGGTGTTTAGTTTACAGCAGACTGTGACTGCCAATAATAGTTTAAATGTCTTCCTTACAATTGTAAGCAGTTATACCTGTTTGTGAAAGGTTATTTGTATTCTTTATTGTTCAAATAGAAACCACTGCTTTCTGCTCACTGGTGAGTTAGCCTATGGATGAGTGTTAAGCACATCAGGCTGGCAGCTGTATGGGCATTGCACTTTGGTAGTTGTTATTTGCACATTGTTAATCCTGGGCAATGCATCCTTAAATTGTTTAACTGTGAGGTGTTATAACATTGAACTGTACTCTGGAGACAGAGAACACTACTACACTTGTGAAAAGGCCTGTTTGTTTTTTTAAGGTAAAAAAGAAACAGCATAATGGGATGTGCAGTACTAGTAGAGAGAACCAAATATGTAAAGCACTTTTTTGTTAATGTATGATTTGCTGCATATAAGGAATACAACAAAAATCCTCTGTCGTACCATATTGAATTGTATCATTATTTTGCATTGTGTTGAATCGCATCGTATCGCCCCGAATCGCATAATGTTGAATCAAATCGTATCGAACTGTATCGCAACAGGGCTGAATCGTATCGTATTGCATCGCCTGGTGCTTCAAATGTATCGTTAATGTATCGTATCGTTGGCAACGTATCGAGATGCACATCGCATTGGCCTCAGTGATGGAGATGCACATCCCTACTACACACTTACTCACTCACTCACTCACTCACTCACTCACTCACTCACTCACTCACTCACTCATCTCAACATCTAAGCACCCGTGAAGTGATAGGACCTTTTGATGCGTCCACTCAGAGCTGCAGATAATAATCTAGTACAGGAAGCTGACATCAGAGAAGTATGAGTCAGCAGAGTCATGCATGAAATTGACTAACAGGGATCAGGAAAACAAGCATAAAACAGACTAATACAGTCAAGACTCTCTAAACTACTGGACCTGCTTGTGTTTAGAATTTTTCAAAGTTCAGATTTAACCACGTCCACATTGACGTAGCTCTGCGCGACTGCGTCCTGGATGTATAAAGAGAACGTCGCCTCAAAAAAATCGCTCACTAAGTGAGGAACAAAACTTAAACTGAAAGGTTTTGTATTTGTATTTGCTGGCATTAGCATTATTAGCATTAGCATTAGCCCCACGCACCAACGGAGAGAGACTAACTTATGGCAACACAAAAAGAAACATGGGAGCGGTGGAGTGATGAGGAGGTGTCGGCGTTCTGGCGATTTACTCTGAAGGCTTCAGTAGAAGCTGCTGGGAGTCCCAGCAGCTTCTACTGAAGCCAGTCCCCAACTCCGGGGACTTCCGGCCGGGGACTCCGGGTGGCAGTATACGCCGTGAAGTTGTTTGCGGCCTGCCAGTAAACCCAAAGCAGAAGAAGACGAAGTGAAGTCAGCGGCTTCATTTGCGTAATCTTCCCTCAGGGAACTTATTCCGGTGTGAACGCGATCTGTACTTAGTTCCATGGGGGTACTAAGTGCTGGCAATAACTGCTGGGCACTAATGCCCTTGCCACACGAGGACGAAAACGATAACGGACCGCAATCGTTATCAAAAAAGTCTTCCGTCCACACGCAACAGGCACCAGAAACGTGTCCGTTCACACGAGACCGCTTGAAAGCGCTGGAGACGCTGTAGTACATATGCCAGGCCTGTAAGTGGCGCTGTAGTCCTGCACAAAAGCAGCGAAGAAGACTTCCCTCGCATTGGTTGCCATGGTTGCCCTTCTGTTTATTCTCCGCTGTGGACGCTCTGGCTCTTTTTCTCCCTCCCAGAGGAAAGCGTTTGCTCCTACTCTCCGGTTAGTCCACCAGCAGATGACAAACACCCACCTCTCCGCCTCTTCCAAGGGACGAGGGGACCGTGCAGCAGAGTTTCAGTTAGATTTTTTTTCGCCAGTCAAGATGTCCGTTAAAGTTGAAATCTTCCGGACAAAATTAGAAAAGTGCCGGTCAGGGGTCTTCTTTGTTATTTATTGAGCTTTAAAACAAATGAATAACGACTCTATATAATAATATAATAATAAAAAACTGAGCCTCTCTTTTCCTCCCCCTCTTTTGAGAGCCCAGCAGCTGATCTCTGAGCAGGAGAAGCGGGGCTATTGCGTCATCGTTATCAGGACATGATCGTATAGGCGTAAACACGGAGCCGTTTGCCCCCCCAGAGCGTTTCGTTTGCAGATCTACCCACCTAGGGACCCGTTATCGTTATCGTTTTCTGCGTTTCCGTGTCGGCCTCGTGTGGCCGAACCATCTATCTGATAGTGAACTAGCAGATACGACCATTTTCGTCCTTGTGTGGCAAGCACCTAAGTACGGCAAAGTACTTGGTGTGAAAGCGGCTAATGTGTCACAGGCTCCCAGCAATGCTCATATAATATATATAGATAATTCACGCATGTACGCAAGTTAAAGCGCAATTAGAATCAAAACATAAAATAAAGTTACCAAAGGTATAACATATAAAATATTTATATTTACAGAGGTAACAGCAGCTCTAAAACAGTTAGGTAGGTAGGTAAAATATTGTATGAGTATAAATGCAACAAAAACAATTAACTTTTTTTAAAGAAACCCAAATGTCCTTAAACGTCTAAAACTACACCCACTTGCTGTGAACTTCTCATGGTGACTGAAGCATTTCGGTTTATTGAAGTAAGATTTTTCCCAGAAAGAAAGGCATGATTGGACTTTCCTGCCTGCTGACCTACTGCACTCTTTATTCCGAGCTTTTCCCTCCCCTCCCTCTCAGTCTCCGTGTGATCTGATATTTGATCCCTCATTAATGATTGGCAGCCTCTGGACTCTGTACACTCTGTTAGTCAGCTGCAGAGACACATGACTTTAATGGCAATCATATATACATGATAAAGAAAGACACAGCTCAGAACCTGCTGGCAGCTCCTTTTGGATTTTTCTGGCCAAGTTAATGCATATGCAATACATTTTGGCAAGGCTAAGGCTGGGCTATATGTTCAAAAATGTTATCACATGTTGACAGATTTAAAGTGCCCCTTTTATGCTTTTGGGGGTTTTCCCTTTCCTCTAGTGTTCTAAATGTTTATTTTTCTGTGCATATACATAGTCTGCAAAGGCTAAAATCCCTGGTTTCCCTCCAGAGGGAGTGTCTCTTTCACACACTGCCTCACATGCCTCCAAATGACTCCCTTGTTTACTTCCGTTACATAGTGACATCACTATAGAGGTTTCTCATTTCCGAGAACCGAGGAGAGAGGAGGGGAAGCAGCAGGCGGTTAGAGAAATGAGAACTCCTCTCCTCTGAGCAGTCATTTTAAAGAGACGTCCATTAATGATGACAGGAGGCACAGCAGCACTCTGTCTGATGGACAGATGTGTTCATGACCACTTATATATTTACTTTGAATTCATTCACAGTGCGGTATAATGAGACAATAACAGGCTACAGATGCGGACATATATACACACATATATATTTATATAAATATATACAATTTCAGATTCAAACAAGTATGAGAGCACTCTCATAATAACGTAACACTATCAGAGACTGGATATATCCCCCCCCCCCCTCTCTCTGGTCGCTACAATGGGGAATTTAAATGACGGGCCAAAAGTTTTATTTACCAGTATTAAAAGTAAGCATAGGACACCAAACCAACTAAGACCTGTCTGTCCGCCCAAGGGTGTAACTTTGGTTTGAGAAGTGGGGGGGACACAAAACAGGGGGTCCTCCGCAATGAAATATTTTCTCAATTTAATTCCATTTCCTGTCTTTCTACAAATATATTAGGGACTATAGTGTTAACAAATCCAAGAAAAATGTGTAGTGTATATAATGAGTGTGCACACTTATCTATATCCTATCCATGTGAACCTGTTTTATTTGTGATTACCTGACATCCTCTAGGGGGGTCCGGGGGCATGCACCCCGGGAAGATTTGTTTCTTTAAATTGAAGTTGAATGCATCAATCTGGTGCACTTTGAGGGCAACATTAAGAGATTTATGGATACAGTTCTCAACACTCATATGAAACAGAACTGTATATATTTCAATAATCAAAAAGCCATTAGAATATGCTCACAACCAATAACAAATCATTGATAAACTCCTCTCTCCTATCTTTATCTTACCTAGTCTGCATTTTTTCTTTTTATTTATGCATATTTGACTAATCACTCCCCTTTCAAACTGTGTTTTTTATTTTTGTACTGACCTATAGTACACATTGGAAGGATTTCTTAACTTATTTTATATACAACTATATATTACATATATGGAAATATTTGTTTACATAGATGACCAAACCGTTTGAGACCCACTGAGATAACTACACTAAAGTTTACAACCTAATCACTCAGAGAGTCCTTTACCTCCCTGAGCTGACGTTATCTCTCTCAGTCCGACAGGAGAGGACTCTCCCTCTCCTTATTGTTGAAACAGCTTCTAATCTCCGTTAGCTCCGAGCTAGCACCAGATG